CCACCTACCTATCATGCTGGATCCACCCTGTCAGTTGAAAAATGTATTTTCTTCATAGCCAGGCATTCACATGAATGAAGATTAGAATTGCATCATGTTATATAGTCTTAAATATTTAGGAGGGTCTCCATTATTAAATTAAGTGATTAAAAAGGGGTCCCATGACATTTTTTTTTTTTTTTTTTTATTAGGCTTTGCCAAATCAACTTAAAATCACTTGCTATACATACATGAACATAAACGATACATACATTGACATGGCTGGGTATACGCTACAGCTTCCGCCAATTACAGCGACCCTTTACACAATACAAGACAAACATACTTTAAAATATCGAGAGTTAAAAGCAGAATACCCCACCAATTTCTCTTTATACAAAAATTTCTGTATATCAAGCTTACTAAATTCGTACCATGCAGAATATTTATATTTTAATTGTTGTTTAATATTCAAGCTGGTTTTAAACACAGCTCACAGACTGACAGAGAATTCTGCTTCTTCCCCAAAAAACTAACAACAGCACGATATGGGACAAGACAGGTTACGAGACGTATTACAAGACAAACATATAGATTTCCAAGTTCGAGGATCCTCTGCGTTATAAACATTTCGTAAGGCAGATTTATAGTGTTTGAGAAGTCCGCTTTTAAATCCGTTAAATGTAGTGTTTTTATCTGTCAAGTCTTTTGGTAAAATGTTCCACACTCTCGTTGATCTCGTCAGGAATGACTTCTGGTATGTTGTGGTCTTGCATTTTTTTGTTGTAAACATCAAACAGTTCGGATCAGCAGATCTTGTAGCTCTTTCTCTATTCTGGATTGTTGGTAGTAGGTCGTTGTTAATGACTATCATCTCATGAGTGCATTTGAAGAAGAAAATCATATCAAGAAATTCGTGCCAGTAACATACAGGAATCATATCTAGCATATCAAGTCTCTGGTTGTAACTGACCTCACAGAAGAAAGGAAGATCCAGAATGTACTTGGTTGCTCGCCTTTGTACTCTTTCCGTGCGCTTGATCAAGTTGACTGATTGGGGAGCCCAGACTTGAGAGCCATAGCATAGTTGGGAACGGACAAGGGACAAATATAGGGTGCGACGAACGGAGATAGTTTTTATGTCAAGTTGTTGATCTTCTTATATATCCTAA